ATAATGAAGACGAACATAAGGATAATGAGGACGAACATATGGATAATGAAGACGAACATAAGGATAATGAGGACGAACATATGGATAATGAAGACGAACATAAGGATAATGAGGACGAATATATGGATAATGAAGACGAACATAAGGATGAAGGTTCGCGATTTATACTTTAAAGTTTCTTTGTCATATATTACATAAAAAATTTGAATGTACAATAATAGTAACCTCAAGTAAGATATGGCAAAAGATGAAATCGTGAAGCCCTTGACTCTCCAGAAATTGACCGAGTTTGAAAAGGAACAAAATAAAACTGGATTGGTGTATTTATCACGAATTCCACCCTTTATGAAGCCGGCAAAGATTAAGCATCTATTGAGCAAATATGGTGAAGTAGGAAGAGTTTATCTTGCACCTGAAGGTACATTATCAGAACTACTTGAAGGATTGTATAAAATTTGAGAAATATCATCTTACAACGTTTTTGATTTATTAGATCCCAAAATAAGAGCTCGGCGAATAAAATATAAAGGACATAGGAAACAAAACTACACTGAAGGATGGGTTGAATTCATGGATAAAAAAGTTGCAAAAACCGTTGCAACTGCCTTGAACGCTCAACCAATTGGTAATGGAATATTTTGTTATTGCACCATATTAACATATTTACATGTGCGTACTAATATGTGATTAAAATAGGAGGAAATAAGCGTAATTTCTACCATGATGATTTATGGAACATCAAATATTTGCCCAAATTCAAATGGAACAATTTAACAGAACAAATAGGTACTATATTAAATTAATAATATTCTATATTGAGAGAAAAGTTTTCGGTATTAAATATAAATTTGTCACAATACAGTCTACGAAAATAGAGAAAGAACACATCGTCTTCAAGCCGAGATTTCCAAATCCCGAAGAGAAATCAAAGATTACGTAAGAAAAGTAGAGAAATCAAAAATGATTCGAAATATTGAAGAGAAAAAGGCAAAGAAGCGTATAACTATAGGCAGCGAATCTCTTTCCTAGGGATGGTAAAGTTAGTTTAGGTTTGATTTAGGGCCCAAAGCCTTTAGGTTTCAAATTAAGAAATCTTAATATATATAGTAAGTTCAAATCTATGTTAAATCTGGCTTGGCTCAGATCCAAATTTTAAAATCTGGTTCACAATACAGTATTAAAAAAAAAAATTGAATAAATAAATAAACAAAAATAAAATTCACTTTGTATTGTCAGATAATACTGAATGATACAGTAGTATTTTCAAAACTTTAATTCAATTCAATTCATGGTTGGTATTATAATTCATTTCATATTTCTATTTTGTCCCCTTTGGTTTGTTATTTGTCATGCAGTTATGTACGTGAGTAGTCTAATGTTAACAATATAATTTGGACATTACATGAACGTGTATTCGGTTTGTCTAGTACATAGAGGTTCCTCGCTACGCTTCGGACAATAACTTGTACATGTGTTACACGATACTATCGGCCTTTAAA